TAAAAGAGTGACTTATTTCGGGGAATTTGGTTATCTGAACAGTTCATGTATTAGAAAAAGTATTATTTTTAAAATGTTTTTGAGTTCCTGAAGAGATAATTCACGCTTTTGTAGCAAAACTCAGTGACAGATGTTTCTGTTGGTTTCCGGCCGCTCGATGCCCAAACGATGTGACCGTGAATTTCGCGTATAATCCGTCATTGCGTGCTTAATGATACCTCTTTCTACGCCATGCAGTCTGCGAAGACAATTTCAAAGTGCCCATTGCATTCACTTTAAAGAAGAAAGAATCGGTCGCTTTGAAGGTCTTCCACAGTTTAAGTGGAATGATCTCAGAAAACAAGATGCGATAGGGGAAGGGTCATTTGAAGCCGTTTTTATTACCAAAACCAGGAACAAGGACAGAAAGTCAAAACAGTGGTTGACAAGAAATCACCCGCTTTTAATAAAGATTCCCCATTTTAAAGATTCCCGCTTTTAAAGATTCCCCATTTTAAAGATTCCCGCTTTTAAAGATTCCCCGTTCCCCGTTCCCCGTTCCCCATTCCCATTCCCCGTTCCCCGTTCCCCGTTCCCCGTTCCCCGTTCCCCGTTCCTCGTTTTAAAGATAGCCTATGCTAGCGACTTCGACACGTTAATAAAGTTCTTATCTTATCTTCCAAGCTGTTTAGACGGCGCCAAATTGTCTCGTGCTTATCGGCAAGCTTTTATAACATTCATAGCAAATAAAACCTGTAAAACGTTTTGTTTTCTTAAATTTTTAACGGCATGTATTAAACCGGGTTACCGATTTTCGTTTTGACGTACTTAAGTATTTAAAACTGGCGTTCTGCGCGACTTGAAATTTTTCCTCAAACCTGCTGACACACAACAGAAACTTCTTACTAACTTCGTCTCCTCAGTCCGTACTGCATGTAAGTTGCGGATCCTCGTTTTTACCCCTTCGATTTATAGCCCGCTCGCTTTACGCTTGGGCCATAAATCGAAAGGAAAATTTACGGACCTAAAACTTGCTTATTGAAAGGTATATCTGACATCTGTTGGTATATTGTGTTTACACAGTGACATATTACTACTGATCTGCTGGACAAGAACTTTCTAAAAGGTTTTAAAAAAGGACAGTAGTGGCATGTTTAGAGGGAAGGAATCATTGAGTTATACTCTGAACAACCATTGAGTTATATTCTCTCTCACTTGTGCCCCTTCGTTCTCTTGGGTACAGAAAGCCTTATACACACATACAGGTATCTTTAAAAAAACTGTTAAGTTTACTCTAAGACAACGTTCACATTGCGCCGGAGAAATTTGAAAACGCAACTTTATTTCTACGGCTATTTAGACTGTCCACACTAATCCGTCACGAAAACGGAGCTTTTCGAAAACGCTCTTCAAACCGGAGGAATTTAAAAACGCCGGCTTTTTGTTTTCGGGTGGACGGAAAACATTTTGAAAACGGAGCTTTTCGTGTGATTTCCCTAACCGAGTTTTCCTCAATCACAAATCCAAAATGAACGGCGATTGTTGCGTTTTTAAATTCTTCCGGCTTAGTGTGGACGGGGCCAAAACATATGTGTGGGACGAAAGAAATAAATTTATACATCATTTACCTGTAAAAATTAGCGATAAGAAAGAAAAAACGTTTCGGTGACATCGTGACACTATTTGCAAGTATGTTAATCTTGAGCGAATCTTCTGAGAGTTTATCTTTTTGCATTTGGACTTGAAAATGGTGTCACGATGTCACCGAAACGTTGTTCTTTCTTACCGCTAAATTTTTACTTGTTTATGCCTAACAAAACTTTTGCTTATATATATTATTTACTCCAGTTTTAAATATTAAAGCTTACTTGTAATTAGCTATTTTTGAGAGTGACATAACTGTTAACTTGACAAATGATCAAAAGCGGGCTGAGCCGGGCTCAGTAATAACACATTTGTTAATAAACAATCTGAAAAGCACAGAAAACTATGATGTTTGATGGAGTATTTACGGTTTATGCTGATAGCTTAGCGAAGTATTACATGATTTTATGCTTTTTTAAAAGCATAAATTCTTAAAAGAATTCTATATTCGGTTTTCTTTCTTCTTTGGATTCCTACTCAAACAATGCCCTAAATTACTAACCTTAAAGCCAGGAAATATGAGTTTGATAGTGACCTCTTGAAATTTCTCACATGAAGCTGCCAAAGCTGGCGGCAATTGTAAAAGAAAGAAGAAACTTTTTTATTATTTTTTGGGGAGGGGTGGGGGGCGGGGAGGAATCTTGGTCAACTTGAAACAATAGCAGGTGCCTCCTCAATGGTTTCAAATTCGTACTGTCAAAAAATTCTTATATGTGTCCCTTATTTGGGATTTTCGGAGCTTGCATTGGGAGAGCGCTCGAATACTCAAAAACGTGATCTAAGAATTTTTTTATGTTTAGCTTTCATCATCGAGGATTAATATTTATAATTGGATTAGCTTGCAGTATGTTTCACAAGTTTGAGGCGACTTCTCGTGCTTAATATTCATACAAGCCTTTTATCAAACTGTAAAAACAAAGCTTTAATTTATTGAGGTCCGCATTAAACCTATTTAACCTCCGGCTGTTTTTGTCTCTCCGCTTTGATCTCCCACTCAAATTATCAATATTAACATAACAGGTGTCTTGATAGGGTTTTAATCCACTATAATTGTCTGTATAAAATCATCGTGAAAAGGAATAAAATTCAGTCACACTTCAAGTCTTGAGAAGTAAACACTTAAAGAAATATGGAAATCATTCTCCTACAACAACTAAGAAACCACCTCTTCTTGTTGGTTTCTTTCTCTCATGCTTTGGAAGGTAAGCAATTTTTTTTTTCTCTTTTTCACGTTCATTTTCCTGAGGGGGGCGTAAGGGTTTGCGGTGATGCGGTTTTGCGTTATTTTTGGTGCGGTTTTGCGGAAATCTTTATTNTTAACCTGCGGTGTTGCGGTTTAATAAGACTAAGCGGTTTGCGGTTTTCATAAATTTTCGATCGCGGTAATCGGTAAAAAGAGTCTGCATTCGAGTGGTTTCCAGTGCTGAAGTCGTAAACATCGATGTTTTTCAATTGGGTAACTCAGCAGTATTCGTGCGTGCGCGAGCGCATTTATGTGAGTTAGACAACAGCATAACGAAGTCAGTCCCACGGACGTGTGTCAATTATTACAGTATTATTTTATGAGTGCGATGATCATACGTTGATTAACATTAACGTACA